CCTGGCATTCCCCAGCCGCGCTGCGTCGCGGGAGCACCCGACGCATGGCCAGTAGGCGCTCCCCGGCAGCGTCACTAAGGCACTTGCCCTCCAGGGCTCAGTGCAGGGTCTTGGTGCCCCATCACAGAAACCCTCAAAATTGTGTTAACATCCAGCTGTCAAATGTGCTGACAGGAAGACCTTTGGTTCTGTTCACTCTGCATCTTAATTAGTCACTTCAGCATCTCAGTTCATCTTCCATAGCATGTGGTCAGTAGCTTCAGTTCTTGCTTTCATATCCTTAGCCAACCTTGCCTCTCTTTTTTTTTCAAATTGGAACACTGAATGTTGTAAATCATCTTGCACTAGGTCCTCTCTGGTCCTCCATATTTTTTTTGAGAGTCGAAGGAGCCTGTCAGCAGGGAAGCAACATTTGAATTTCTCTTGAGCAGGATCCAAGCACTCAGCTTACAGGGAACACTGTCAGGGAGTGCTCATGCCTTGGTGCCAGCAGCACAGATTGAGGAATGGTTTGGGAGAGTGTTGTACCACGGGGACGGGGAAATTAATATGTAGACAAGGAAAAGATTCTACACCATCTTCATGAAAGATTCTATTGATATCTTTGTGTTCTTCAATGCCCTGTTTGGATGTAATGCTCAACCAGGCAGGGCATATCCAGCTCATTGAAACAAAGCCTCCAGTCACCATACGCCAAAGTCCCCCTTCCATTTCCTGGTGCAGTAGAGTTACTTACCCTGCATCTCTTCCCTTGTTTCATGCTCTTCCTGGTGCAGTAGAGTTACTTACCATGCATCTCTTCCCTTGTTTCATGCTTCACTTCCAGCTGCTGAGACTCAACTTGAACCTTGGGACTTGAGAGCAGTTCTTGGCTGCCTACCGCCCCAGGTGATCCCATATTGAACCCCGTCTCCTTACCCACTCCTACCTCTGCATCAAGAACTTCTTCCACTGGGTGAAATCCTGTTTCTGGTGACTTTTGTGCTATGGGAAGTATCCACAGATTCCTTGCCTGTGGACGTGGAGTCCCCACCCAAGATTGTGTCTAGTTCTTCATAAAAGTGGTATGTCTTGGGTAAAGCACCAGACCACCGATTTGCCTCAACCTTCTTGTACGACTGACAGAGTTCCTTTATCTTAACTCTGCATTGTAGGGTGTCTCGCTCATACCCCTTCTCACATAGGACTCGAGAAATGTGACCTCACATTTCCCAGTTTCTATGGGTCATTCGCAGCTGTGATTGCACTGATTCTTCAGCCCACACACTGATAAGATCCAATAGCTCTGCAGTGCTCCAAGCAGGAAAGCATCTTAAGCAATAGCCACCCTGTTTCCCTGAGAAGACACCATGAGGAGCATTCTACAGTGAGCCATGAAATGGATTTTAAGGTTCTCAGGGCTTGCCCGGGGAAGGATCGCATTTCTATTTACCTGTTTGAACTCTGCTGCTCTGCAGCCATGTAGACTCTGCCCTTGTAACTAGGCACTTACTCCTAAACTCACAATAATCAACCAATACCCGTTAATTAGAATAAAAAGAAAACTCTTTTATTAACAATACAAAACTACTGTCACAAGCATAGTAAATCAGCTAGATGGTAAATAGTTACAATTTGTCATATATACTCAGGGAAAGTCCCTGGGCTGTAATCCTTAGTTACAAAAGAGAAAAACAATTAGCCAGCTTAGACATGATTTCCAAACCCCCAAACAAGGAAAACAATAAACCCTGATGGATTATCTAAACTTTTCCCTACCTACACATTTCAAGAAGTCCATTCTTGGAAAGGGAACGCGTCTCCCATTGCCCTCAATACCTGGGAGAAACTGCTCTGATCTCAAACAGAAGAGAGAAAAAACCCTCTTTTCCAGTTTGAAATTCCTACCTGCACTGTTATTGGCTGACTGCCCACAGTTTCCCTCCCCTCTTCCCCCGCTGACACCTTTGCTAGGTACATGAGTTAACCCCTTAGTCACTGGGTACTGATCAGCACTTCTTCTGATCATGACAGTAGACAAGGCTTCAGCTTTGTTATTTCCTTTCTTTAAAATGTGAGCATAATCTAAGGAGGAAATATTTTCCTTAGCTGTAGAATCATGAGTCAGAGGTTGAAGTGAAAAGATTTTTATTGATACCTTGTGATTCAACCAACCTTTGTCCAAGACAAACTTTTGGCACCTAATGGAATAGGAACCAATCATCCTTGTTGAGCCCACAGAAATATACAGCCTGGTGCCCAGCAAGAATATCTCTCTGCCCACTTCCCCTAGTGAGAAATAAGAATCCTCTTTATCTACATCTTTAAAGACAGAAGGAATAAATATAATACATCTTGTCCAAATTCCTGCACAGAATTTTATCTTGTAATTCCTGTATGTAGGGACATATGAGAGAGAGAGAATACATATATTCACAAGATATACCAAAACACGACCCAAATCTCTGTTCTGTAATTATATTGCATTCTCTGTGCTATATTAGTGCTACTGACAATATGGTGCATTCTGTTTAGAGACAGTTGACACCTTGAAGGCAGATAAAGCAAAGTAGATTCCAGCATTCAATTTCTTACCAAAACAAGCTTTCGCTTGCTGACATACTAAGCCCTAATTTTCACTCTGGCCTCTATTTAAGCATGTAAAAATTTGCAAACACAAATTGCTTCCACAGGTAAAGGTTGTGTGCTTTTCTTGCACCCACAGATGGAAAAGGGATAGCAACCTTAGGTACTAACATGTGACGTGTATATTTGCTTTGCCAGGCTGTCACTTTGGCAGCATTTGTGGAAACAACACGGCAAGGTAATGATGTGCATACCCCATTCTAAACCCCCTTCATATAACTAATAAAATCTGGAGAAAAGCCATGGCAAAGCTCCCATTGACTTCAGTGGGGTCAGAATTTCATCCAGGTTCACTAGAGAAGGCATCTTTGGGTGTACCATTTTCACCATTATCAGTGCTTAGTGCATGCATTTACTGTGCACATTCATTGGTCCCACTAGTTTAATTTCCTTAGCAGCACGTTCACCAGGGTTGGTGAGACACAGTAAGGAATGGGATATTACCCTCTTCTCACACTACCAGTATCATTACCCTCACCATTACAAACCATATGTCATTGTGCTGGTACAAGCAGTCCCCGGGTTACATACAAGATAGGGACTGTAGGTTTGTTCTTAAGTTGAATCTGTATGTAAGTCGGAACTGGCGTCCAGATTCAGCTGCTGCTGAAACTGACCTGCGG